CGCCTCCGTAACAATCTGCGCTTCTTCGTCGCTGTCATGAACACACTTGCAATATTTACAAAGAACCTTCTAGTTGAATGCTTTACGCTTCATTGTAGTAACTTAGTAAGCGAACGACTTACAAAAACTGGAAATGAGCCGTTCGTGCGTTGCGTCGAGTGCTTTTATATACCTAGCTGTATAGCATTGCTAGCTTGCACTTGATTGGCTTGATACGGTATTGATTGTTAATTTTTTCTTCCCAGGGCTCTTCCCTTCATTATATTTACGTAGACATCTTGATTAAACGGACTACAATTACTTGGCATAACAGTTAGAACATTAGTCCAGAGTTTATTAGTCTGATGGCATCAGTATCATGCGGCTAGTATGTGGACTTTAATGTGTTATATCATGGTTTTCGCCACAACAATTATGCTACTAGACATCTAGCATACCAATCAATCCGTTTTCATAACCGTTGCTCCATTGATTCATTCTCTTAATTGTTTCCATCAAGGCTTCCTTGTACTCCGTGACCTTGTCAGCCTTGAACCCTGTTTCATGGAGTTCGATGAATTTCTGCATGACCTCGCGTCTTGGGTTCTTGCTTCCTTCTTAAACAACCCAGGACGCAGCGTCTTGCGTAATTTCCCTTAACCTTGTCCGTTTGACTCATCAATCGCGCAAACATTGATTGCACTGGTGCTTGGCACAACGCTTGTGTTGTCATTTTCCTGAAGGATTTCAGATGGCGTTGCATCAGCTGCAAACAATGCGAACATAACAAATAATTAGTCCCAACGAGCTCATCATTGCAAAGGTTACTTAACCGGGACGTACTTTGCCCAGTTCTTTGTCGTCCAAATCGGAATCCATATTAAAGTGTCTGGCTGGAATATATCAAGGATGTCCACCTTCTTCTTTTTCTTCGCCGGTTTCTGTCCTGCCTTCCGGATCAACGGATCCGGTTCTCGTTCCACTGACCGACGGTACAGCTCTCGGTGTTCCGTTCGCTTACGCAGGACAGTGAGCAACAAGTCTCTTGACTTCTTCGGCTTCGTGGTTTGCGCTAGGGCTCTGGACGCCGCTTCCCTTAATTCATTCAGCCCTAGCTGGACTTCACGGAGTTCACGGGTGCATTCATCAATGGACTGTAGCACAGTGCGATGTACGGCGGCAGCTGCTTCTTCTACATGGCGATTTTCTTTAAACAGCGCAACCTGTACAGAACAAATGCATTTTGTTATCCATTGCGGTACAATACAGACCAATGTATTGTTCCTGATCGTATAGAAAATCGTACCGCTTTCTCGTACAGATACTGCTTAGCCTCTTCATCCAGTTTTTTAATCTTTTTCATTAGCTTTCTCCTCGTGGTCTGGGCATTGTCTTTACCGGCATGATAGAGCGTCTTCCACTCAGCCTTCACCTAGAAGACAACAATAATAGATGAGAAAATAAGCATGCCTGTATGCATAGGTAAATAATTTTATTCCTAATACGTCAGGTAAAAAATTTGCGTACCCATATGAGCAGCTTAATAATTTTTCGTACCAGGTAGTCCGTTGAAAAATTTGCGTGCCAATATAAGCAGCGTAATAATTTTTAGTACCAATTAGTCCGCTAAGAAATTTGCGTACGGGTATGCGCAGCTTAATAATTTTTAGTACCAGTTAGTCCGTTGAAAAATTTGCGTACCAATATAAGCAGCTGAATAATTTTTAGTACCAGTTACTCCGTTGAAAAATTTACGGGTCAACATAAGCAGCGTAATAATTTTTAGTACCAATTAGTCCGCTGAAAAATTTGCGTACGGGTATGCGCAGCTTAATAATTTTTAGTACCAGTTAGTCCGTTGAAAAATTTGCGTACCAATATAAGCAGCTGAATAATTTTTAGTACCAGTTACTCCGTTGAAAAATTTACGGGTCAACATAAGCAGCGTAATAATTTTTAGTACCAATTAGTCCGCTGAAAAATTTGCGTACGGGTATGCGCAGCTTAATAATTTTCAGTACCAGTTAGTCCGTTGAAAATTTGCGTGCCAGTATAAGCAGCGCAATAATTTTAGTACCAGTTAGTCCGCTGAAAAATTTACGTACGGGTGTGCGAAGCTTAATAATTTTAGTACCAGTTAGTCCGTTGAAAAATTTGCATGCCAGTATAAGCAGCTGATTAATTTTATCCTCAATTAGTCCGCTGAAAAATTTACGGGTCAACATAAGCAGCGTAATAATTTCTAGTACCAATTAGTCCGCTGAAAAATTTACATACCGGTATAAACCGTTCAAAATTTTATACCCGGTCGACCCGCTGAAAAATTTGCGTACTAGTCCGCACAGCTGAAAATTTACATACCGGTATAAGCTGTTCAAAATTCTTATACCCGGTTGACCCGCTGAAAAATTTGCGTACTAGTACGCACAGCTGAAAAATCTACATACCCGCATAAGCTGTTCAAAAATTTTTATACCCGGTTGACCCGCTGAAAAATTTGCGTACTAGTACGCACAGCTTAAAAATTTACATACCAGTATGTACGCTTCAATAATTTTTATACCCTGTCAGTCCGCTGCAAAATGTACCCATTAATATAAGCTGGTAAAATTTTAACGTATCGTTATCACGCTAAAATTTCCATCCTCATATGTTGGTTAAATTGAATTAGAATTGTCCAGTTACTCAGCTACAATTTACCGCAGGAACAGCAGCGCATAGTTGTACATACAACAATGTTATGGTAAAACATTACAGTATATACATAATGATAATGCATTAACGATGCAAGCATACAGCATACATAACTTACTGATATTTTATTCATACAACTATAGTACACAGCATAACAACAATTATTCAAGAGAGTACAGTGATTGCACTACAGTAATAATTAAAATGTTATCTCACCTCGTTTTGCGACATCTCTGTGTATGGCAAGCAGGAGTTCTATACGCGGGAACGGATGCTGGGTGTCCAGTGCGGTTTCCAGATTGACAGCCGAATGAATGCGTGGGTTCCTGTGCGCTACATGTGTATAATTACTGTGTGCGTGCTTGATGGGTACCACAAGCACACACAGTACACGATCTGCCACGCTCAAATACAGAAAAAAAGTGGTACGGGATCAAAGTCCCTTACCACGCCAGACAATCATGCTGCGAGCACATTTTCTGACAGAGCGACATTTTGTTGTGGTTTCTGTTAATGTGCTCGCACATGGTAGAGCTGCTTGCTTCCTACATATTACACCGTGTTAGTAGCGAAACATACCATCGGAACACCCTGATTAATTATCCGCTTAATTATTAAGCGATACCATTCCTCTCGATGCTATTCCGTCTGAGAAATACTTATTGCTGCAGTGCTGCTACATATACAGTACTAGCAGCGGAATATACGATCGGAATACTTTGATTTTCCACACTGATTACTAGCCGATGACATTCCGTTCGACATTTTATTTGCGATACTTGAATGGAATTTACCAGGTAATATTTGTATATTTATCTATAATTTTGGTGATTTTTTTCTGATTATTACGATTTTTTCTGAATTTTTAATTAATTTTTCAAAAAACGGGACGTCATCCCGGGACGCTCTTATCAGCGTCCCACATCTAAAAGCCGGTCGAGACAGGCATATTACTACTGGCAAGCCTTAACAAGTCTGGCGGCTCTTCGATAGTTTCGTTGGTGGTACAGAACCAGCAGTCTAGTCCAGAAACGCCTGTTAAGGAGATCAGCGAATAAGGATCGGTAAAAGTGTTTTCTTACCAAAAAAACACATTACCGATAAGATCCACCTAAAACAAAATCAATCTAGGAGGCTAAGTGAACAAAATTCCCGATTTCTGCCAAGTCTGCAAACACAGTGCAGTGAAACGAACTTCGAGGTCTACAAAGCTATAAATATAATTGTACAAGCCCAGCACGGATGAATGATGTCTTAGGATTTCGAGCATGTAAAAAGGTTAACTGCATATGTATTAATTAATGGCACGATGTTTATTACATTAAGCAGGCACGAACAAAATAAACAGGTGTGCCGAACCTGTTATTTTTGCTAATTCGCAGTTCGCTAATTTCAATGACAATTCGATATAATAAACACATAGTCACAATCTGGGGATTTACAACCAGCCCATGTTAAGCTAATGGCCACCATGGTAACAAGCTTTTGAGTGACCACTGGACTGTGGGGATTGGTCTTTCCAAAAAACTTATAATTCAGGAACACTCTCGACACTGAGAGGATTCTGTAGCACTTTAGAGCGCAGAGATTGGATGTGTGGAACGGGAGAAAATTGGTTACAACGGCAAAGTGTCGAGGACCCTGGTTACGTAGTTAGTATTCATATAACCAGTTTACGGTATCTACATCCGTACGTGTTGTCGTGGCATACATTAGTTTCGAATATTTTTATTTAAAGAAACATACGAATCTTCTATATTCAAAAAGTTTTTTGAGATTAAGAATTGTAAAAAGCCCTAAAAACGTAAGAAACACAAGCAACTTAAGAAAACCTAGGAAATCTAAGAAACTTAAGAAACTTAAGAAACTTAAGAAACTTAAAAAACTTAAGAAACTTGAGAAACTTGAGAAACTTGAGAAACTTAAGAAACTTAAGAAACTTAAGAAACCTAAGAAACCTAAGAAATCCGGATATGAAAGAATACGACGTATATCGACCACGCCGGTGGGATTGACTGCGATTATATTTTGCACATGTTTCTTAAATTTTCAATACTTAGAAACGTGCCGATGCCGAAGGCCGCGGTCTGTCTCGGTTTCTACGAACGGACAGCGAACAGACAAAGCATTTGCCCATGTTTGTCTATGGGGGCCCATGGCAACAATTTGTTTTTTGGGGCTACTCCTTCCCTTTTGGGGCGTATCGGTTCCGCAATAGCGTAGGAACCTCCGCACCATTGAGACGATTCTAACGCACTTTGCCGCGTCGAAATCGGTTCAGGTGTTCGCCCAAACATTTGCTACATCATCAATCGTGTATACGTGGTTACGGATGTAGATAACAAGCTGAGCACGGATGAATATTGGCTTACGACTAGGTAATGTAAATAAGTGATTTAGGATTTGTTGTTACTAGAAGTCGTAGAATTACGTCGCAGTGTTTCTGTTAAGTTAACTGGGCTGTTATTTGTGAGAGGTTGACCGAACTGTTGATACAGCTCAGTGCACTGGGCCGTAAAATTCGACAGTGATCAAGCGTAATACTACAAGAAACGCAGAGGCGAAGCCAAAGGTGTTTCATGTTTGAGCTAATTAAGTACATGAACATACAGTGTAATGTGACCGTGGTAACATACTAGCCCATGTTAGCCCTATGGCATCCATGGTAACAAGCTTTCAAGTGACCACTGGGCTTGAGGTTCTGCATATAGCAAATAACGATTAGTCTTAGATCACCCGCCAGACCGAGCGGTTCCCGGAACATTTTAAAGCGAGAAAATTGGATGAGTGGGAGCTGAGATCATAGCGAACAAAGAGGAGAGGCAGAAAACCTGCAAGAGATGTATAGTATTCATATAACCAGTTTACGGAGGACTACATCCGTAACCAATTTATCGGCGTCGGCTTTTGGTGATTAATTATTTTTGTTTTTGTTCGCATCGAGGCCGCTGGCCGAGGCGTGTCGTCATTTACACACATGGGAACAACTTGTCCATGTATGTCTATGGAGGCCCATGGTAACAACTTTCCTTTCCGATCCCCTTTTTTCCCCTCGAGGCGCATCGTCTCGGTAATAGCGTAACATCCACCGCGTTGTTGCAGCGGTTCTGGCGCACTTGACCGCGTTGAAATCGGCCTACCCGTTCTCCCAAACATAGGTTTTTTAACCTTACTCTGTCATGGTTGTTACGGATGTAGTTAACAAGCTGAGCACGGATGAATATTGGCTTACGACTAGGTACTGTAAATAAGTGAGTTAGGATTTGTTGTTACTAGTAGTCGTAGAATTACGTCGCAGTGTTTCTGTTAAGTTAACTGGGCTGTTATTTGTGAGAGGTTGACCGAACTGTTGATACAGCTCAGTGCACTGGGCCGTAAAATTCGACAGTGATCAAGCGTAATACTACAAGAAACGCAGAGGCGAAGCCAAAGGTGTTTCATGTTTGAGCTAATTAAGTACATGAACATACAGTGTAATGTGACCGTGGTAACGTACTAGCCCATGTTAGCCCTATGGCATCCATGGTAACAAGCTTTCAAGTGACCACTGGGCTTGAGGTTCTGCATATAGCAAATAACGATTAGTCTTAGATCACCCGCCAGACCGAGCGGTTCCCGGAACATTTTAAAGCGAGAAAATTGGATGAGTGGGAGCTGAGATCATAGCGAACAAAGAGGAGAGGCAGAAAACCTGCAAGAGATGTATAGTATTCATATAACAAGCTGAGCACGGATGAATATTGGCTTACGACTAGGTACTGCGTACTGAAAATAAGTGAGTTAGGATTTTTGGTAGGTCGTAGTATTACTGTGTTACCCTGCACTTGCCGAAAGTTTCACTAGTGCAGCCAGGCGTACATTGTACGATTCCTATCACGTTTCACATAGACGGCTTAGAGCATTTAACTGCGCACACTGTACGAAATTTCGGCAAGTGCAGGGTAACAGTACAGCACTGTTTAGTGAACTGGGTTGCTTTAGGTGAGAGATTTACCGAACTGTTGCTACAGCAAAGGGCACTGGGCCCCAAGGTGCGACAGTGACAAAGTGAAATACTAGAAAAGCGTGATGTGTTTTCGACTTATTTCAGATCTCATCAAAATCTAAAAGGACACTATATCAAATTATGAACTGACTGAAATAATTATTAATGCAGGTTTTCCGTCAGTTAACCACAAGAAGCGCAGAGGCGAAGCCAAAGTTGTTTCTTGTGCAATTGCAGTACTTACATAAGTATCTGTACAGATACTTATGTAAGTCTGTACAATATGCACGATGAAGTATAACATGCCCGTGGTAACAGACCAGCTCATATTAACCCTATGGCATCCATGGTAACAAGCTTTTGAGTGACCACTGTCCTTAGGAATTTCACAACAGCAAAAGGTCATTAGCCGCACAACACCCACCGCCCTGAATAGATTCTAAAATATTTTAAAGTAAGAAAATTGGTTCAGTAGGAGCTGAGATCACTCGGGACAACGAAGAGAGGCCGAACACCTGCAAGAGATGTTTAGTATTCATATAACTATAGTACAAGCCCAGCACGGATGAATAATGTCTTAGGATTTCGAGCATGTAAAAAGGTTAACTGCATATGTATTAAATAATGGAACGATGTTTATTACATTAAGGAGGCACGAACAAAATAAACAGGCGTGAGCAGAACCTGTTATTTTTGCTAATTCGCAGTTCGCTAATTTCAATGACAATTCGATATAATAACACATAGTAACAATCTGGGGATTTACAAACAGCCCATGTTAAGCTAATGGCCACCATGGTAACAAGCTTTTGAGTGACCACTGGACTGTGGGAATTGGGCTTTTCAGAAATTTGAAGATGCAGGATTACTCTCGACACTGAGAGGATTCTGTAGAACTTTAGAGCGTGCAGATTGGATGTGTAGAACGGGAGAACATTGAGTACAACGGCAAAGTGTCGAGGACCCTTGTCACGTAGTTAGTATTCATATAACCAGTTTACGGGATCTACATCCGTACACGAACTTTTGCGGCGCAAGTTTGTTGCGCAGCGCACACTTCGCAACGGTTGATTGCATTGGTCCCAGCCGCTAAGAAAACTACGAAAACTAAGAAAGAGAAAATCTAAGAAAACCAGAAAAACCGTAAGAAAGCCTAAGAAACCTAAGAACAAAAAAACCCAAGAAATCTAAGAAACCTAAGAAACCTGAGAAACCTAAGAATACCTAAGAAACCTGAGAATACCTAAGAAAATCTAAGAAACCTAAGAAAACCTAAGAAACCTAAGATATCTAAGAATATCGTATATGAAAGAATACGAGGTATACCGATCACGCTGGTGGGATTGACTGCGATCAACTTTTGCA